TGGTTCAGCGGCTCTTGGGGCGGCGTTCGGCGCTTGACTCGGACACGGCCACGTTTCAGCTGGATGAGAATCGTAAGATCTGAAAAAGCCAATGATCCACAATGGTTTCTTCTCGTTTCTGACAATTGATGAAACACTGCCACAACTGAATCAACTATTTAGCTCTGGTTCACTCTCAGCTTCCACAGTCTTCTTGGATCGAAGAAGATTGTGGACGCTGAGAGTGAACCAGAGCTGAATAGTTGATTCATGTTTCATCAATTGTCAGTTATGGTTCTCATCCAGGTGATAATGATAGTAGGACAGCTGTCATTGTTCGCAATCCAAACTGCAGGAGTGAAAGTTGCAATCCTGGAGTCATCTGAGGTCATAGATATTCCTGCCCAGTGTGTTCTACCCAAGTTGTGCCAGTGTCCTAGGGCGTGTAGCTAAACGCCATCGGCTCCTGTCGAAGAAAAAGGTTGCCTCAAGGGTTTCAAGAGTCTTGCCCCAGGTTGAAGCACCGTCCAAAGATGAATTGCTTTCGAGCCTGCAAGCAAGAGATCTTGTCAAGAGTGTTGTGGACTTGCACGTTGCATGCTACTTTCAGGTTCCACAAGCTTCCCTCAGAGACAACATCTAGTGCATAACTGTGAAATGCAGGTGACAGGGCAGGCAGTGACTTCATGTTTTTGAACGTCAACAAACTCTTTGGGTCATGGCTTTCTGTGCTACACGTCTTGCTTTCGTGCATTCCTTTCTGCCTTCCTGGCTGGATATGTCGCTCCCACTGACAAGGCTGGCGTCATGAAAATCCATGCGCTGCCTCAACATGGGCACTGAGGCGGCGTCCAGTCTTGTCCCGCAACGTTCGGGAGAAAACCCGAGGGGGAACCAATGCGCATCCGTCTACTCCAAGTCTCCAGGCATCACTCCTATCGTCAACCCCGTCTCCAGACGAGCATGGCATGCATCCAGCGGTTTTGGAGCATGGCGACATCCATGTGTTGCCACTCGCGAGATCGCTGCAAGTCAGTCAGTGTTGCCACTCAGCACCATAAGTACAAGTCAGTATAGTGTAATGCGACTGAATGATGTATTGCCATGTATTGCCTTCAAAGAGATTGAATCTGTCTGGAGTGCTTCCGTGATCTTGAAGGCATCGATGCGACCATTGAAGCCGGAGAATGCCGGAAATGAGCACTGCCAGCATACTGAAGCAAAGTGTTCACAAGTGTTCACTGTGCCAGCTACGCTATCGTTTGACCCTCGGGAACTCTCTCGAGCCACTGAGCAACAGCAATCGGAAAAACATGGAGGATCCTCCGGATGGGGATCCTTTGCGGCTGGGAGTTTGGAAAGAAGTAACTAGGACCACTAGGAGCAAGGACGCTACGAACGTAGCTCCTGGCCTTACTACTAGTAGCAAGAAGCTACTAGTAGCGCTCCTGCTACTAGTAGTAATGCCCTTGTTACTAGTAACCAAAGTCGCAGAGTGTCCTTTCAGCCTTCCCTGGGCACTCTGGCATGCGACGCCCATGATGGTCTGAGATCCAGCCTTGGCCGGTCAACACCCGTTCTAGGAGAGAGCGACCGAGCGAGCGAGCTAGCGAGCAGCGCAAGAAAGACGACGCTGATCAATTTGGCTTCATTGACCTCTGGCATCAAGTGTGTGAGTCTGATATGGTCCGGGAGCCCTCGAGATTCGCCCGACCTGCCGTTTGACTGGATGAGTTTGGAGTAGGATCCCCGACCCCAGATCGGTGAACCCAAGGCCATCCCTGCAAAGACAGCAGAAGTGATGATGGACTCCTCAGCCACAGTGCTTGGCGCACGGAGTCAGAATACAAGAAAAGCAAAAAGAACCACTACCATGAAGCAGCTTGCTATGGATGAGCTTCGAATATTCTTTGGACATCATCTGTAGATGAGATTCTAAGCCTCCTTAGCCCCTGAGTCTTGGTATGCCAATCTCAAGAAGTCAACAGCTCCTGGTACGAGGTCAGGCCCCAGTCGCAACGCCTGGAAACCAACAGGATTGGCAGCCTAGGCTGCCTCAACTGTTCTCTACATGTACTTGTGAAATGCCCCCCAAGAATATTTACAGAATATCTTGGATTTCACTTACTAGCAACTTTTGATTTCTTTCATTGAAGGTTTTGTTGCATGAGTGTCACAATTGTTCTTCCTTCAGATAGTTCTGCAGGATCACGGCGTCCAAATGACCAGCTTTAAAGGCTGTCTGGTCCAAGCATCCATTTGGTCTGCATCCAGCTTCTCTGCTGTCGATTATGTAACTGTTCTCTCTGGGCTCCATGGCAAGACTTCGGTGACATATGAGAGAAAGGTGACCTCGCAAACAGGAACCCTGATGTTAGTTAGGCCAAGGCCAAGGCCAGCGATATGCCCTGCGTTCGTATCTGCACTGTTAGTTAGGTGACCCTGGGCCTCCCAAGGCCATCCAGCGAATTCGTGTGATCTCTTGCATGTGAAAAAGGAAAATACCAGTATACCCCCTCTGACAGCCAGCCGCAACACCAGGAATTTCATATCGGGGGCGAGACTCGCCTCAGCTGCATCAGAGCAAAAGGTCAGCCCGCAAATCAGCAGGAGCTTGTACTGCGTGCGTCCCACACCTGCCTGAGAGTGGAACACCGATGGCTTCTCAAACAAAGCAAGTGAACCACATACTCACATGCCTCATTTTCCAAGTCAGTTGGACTTGCCTCCAAAGTCTAGTCATAGTCCGTAGTGCTTTGCCACCGCACTTCTTTCTCGAATTGTGCCCTGTTCTACAAGGCCTCGAAGATGGCCTCTTCTACAGAGATGGGGTTCAACTTCCGCAGCGACTCCTAGACTGACTGCATAGCTGGCATAGCTTTTGGACACGCCAATCCATCTAAGTCTGGGTGATTTTGGTCAAATACCTTGAGACTTCAGACATCTTGAGGTCCAAAATCAGAGCGCAAACATCTCTCTAGACACTCTCCTGCTAATCCCTGAACTTTGCTGAGGAAATGACATATAAAATCCAAATGCCAAAAGCAAATGCTCTCCCACATTGTCACATCCTCAGAATGGTCTGGACCAAGTCCGCTAGGCACTGCGGTAGCCCTTCCCCAAGTCCGCTTCACCTGCGTGAGAAGCTCGGGAGGCTCCGGCTCCACATGATAATGCTTGGTCCCTGTGCCGCACGAAGTCGCTGCGTTGGGGTCGATGGGATCGAGCTGCGGACCTACGAATGCCCACGAACAAGGGTGAAGTCCGCCACTTGTGACGTGTCGAATGCCACTTTCATGAGGTTTCATTCATCCTTACCTTCCGCTGAGCTGATGAATGAAGGACTGAGGTCACACATCTGCCACTTGTTAGCTTGTTTCTGATTTTGCAAGTCAGTCGAAGGAAACTGGACCATTTTCAGTGCTGTTCTTTAATCAACTAAACCGAGCTGGTAGTGTAGCTAGGCACGCTAGTAAGAAGCCCCTCCCTCGCAACGTTTCCCAAGTCGGCCTGACACCCCAGCCTTACATCAAGAGACATGGTGGAATACGACATGACATGGTGCAATGTAGTAGATTCCTTTGCTAGTAATTGCAAGTGCATCGCTAGTAGTAACAAGTGCATCGCTAGTAGTAACAAGAAGCTAGTAATTGCAATTCTAATGGACACCTGACTTGAGTGGATCAACATCGTGGCTGGCAGGCTCAAAGGGAAGACTGACGAAAAGGCTCTTTCACCCTCTGAGAGAGGGACAAAGGACACCCGTCTGTCCTCAGATTCACTAATGCAGCAGTCTAGTCCCTCACTGAGCAGTGTCTCCTCCCTCATCCTTCAGTCCTTTGGATCCGGCCCAAACAGAGATGCGACACGCATCCAGTCTTTTAGCGTCCGATTTGGTTCTCGTCTGGTGATGTGTCCGATGTGTTCACAAGAATGTGTCTGTAAAAAAACAAAAATGCAGTCCAAGACTCGTTCTTGGGGCTCGTGGGGTTTCGCAGCCCCGACTTGGGCGAGAGGCTTCTAGGGGAGGCACTTCCATTGCTCTCTCCACGTGACCTTGTCAAGCACATGGCCACATGGCACACTCCCCCACTGACGGGAAGTTCAAGGCCACTGAGGACCGAGGCTTTTAAGGTAATCCTTTATCATCCTTATTATCATCCTTAAGAACCCATGCCAATACTACCTTCTCGAACCTCAATACCAGCCACGTCACGGCAACGGGACTTGCACCTGCGCCGGCGCCTAGAAAGCAAGTCGAGAATGAACGGCTCGTGACTGTTTGTATAATGCTGAGAGTTGGATGAATCTCAATGGGGATTGCAATGAGTCACCCACGTCTGCGAGCAAGTAAACCCAACGCTTTGGAGAAATCCTGTCGCACTCTTTGGGAGTTGCGAAAGTCGTCACGTTTCGGAAAAGTGTCGGCCTGAGGAAGGAAGCCTTGGCAGCCACTTCTCAGTCTACGAAAACGCCAGCCAGGTTGCTTTCGGTCCGAAAACGCACACCAAATGTCCACTTGGAGGCACTGAACACAGAAGCGCTACAGTAACCACTGTAACCACTGCTGCGCATCCGTCACTCCGATGATTCAATGTTCCGCTAAACTGTCAGAGCTCGACAAGAGCTATCTATATACTGTATTCATCCACACCTGAGGCGACTGCCTTGCTGGGGGTACAGCATGCGGCCGGAGTAATTCATCGGATTCATAGCGACAACAATCAAACCAAAGGTTATTGACATCATAATAAGATCAGCTAATCGGAACGCATGCTGTCACAAGATGTCACAAGGCAATCTTGGTACCGTCATGTTTGGGGTCTGCGTGCATGTACTTTGAGCCTTCCGAGCGCAGGAGGAGTACAGGATCAAAGGATACGTCTGATGATGATCAAGTCCTTTTCGAAGTCATAGCCTCTGTCAAATTGCCTCTTGGACCAGCCAGAGTGCAGTGGTAAATTAGTGTAAAGTATGGTAAATGACTTGCGATTGGACACTCAGCATGCTAGGTGTCCAGCAGATGGCCTGGCATGGGCAATGAAAAAGAGTGGTTGCAGTCTTTGGAAGGATTCGGGCTCTGCTTGCCAGACACGCGTTTCCAACTGCCGGGACTTTGAAACGGGGACTGGAAGAATCTGAAACGGGGTTTGACGTCGTTCGGAGTGTTTCAGATTTCTTGCACGAACAGGCGAAACCAGTAGTAACAAGAAGCTAGTAGTAACAAGTGCATCGCTAGTAGTAACAAGTGCCTTACTAGTAGTAACAAGAAGCTAGTAGATCAAATACTGTTGAATCACCCCCTGTCCTCGCATGGAGACTGGGAGCCGTCGCTGAAGAACGCATCTGCGGAGGATCCTGCGGGGGGGGGACAGACTTGAGACCCTATTGAAGCTGTGGTGAAAGCTTTGTGGCCCTAAAGGAACCAACCACCATTTGACAGACTCCATGCCCATTCTTCCTTGGGCTGTAGGATTTGATGTTGATTAACGTATTCAACATGAAGTGACTTGCAGGCTGCAAGTGCTGCTCTTCAGAGCATCCAAGAAGGGCATGCAAATCACACACCATGCTGCCCCTTCCCGAAAAACGCTGATTTTTTCACTCTTTTGCGCACGCTGGGTCGACATGAATGTGGATTCACATCATGAAACCAGGGCTTGTAGCACCTTCCAAAGGTCTTTTCGAAGAAACTCCACGTAGGTTTTTGAGCTCTATTAGGTTGGAGGCCATCACCAATAGGGTTGGAGGCCATCCCCATTAGGTTGGAAGCTATCCACCTCTGTTATGGTCTATCCACATCCGGAGAGCACCCCGGGTCCGACGGGTCCGAGACGACCGAACTGCCGCTCGCAGCGGGGAGTGGATCCACGGTCTCGGTATCTGAACGAAAGATGTCGAATAGGAAGATCATGCCCTTTGTTAGGTTCGCAGCGTCCGATCGCTCCGTTCGTAGCGATGCCAGGAGCCCCGTTCGTAGCTTCTTGTTGGGTTGGCCTTTCCCAAAAGCGATCCTCAAAGAAGCCACCGCGGTTGAGTAAGCACAGCTTCGTAAACGGTTGCTTCGTTCGTGTTCTTCCCCCGCGCTGCGAGGTGCTCAGTGCATCTGCTCAAAGCTAGCTCGTGAAACAATGGCGTCTCCCCTTGTCCTGCGCCGAATGCTGGGACACTCGCAGATTTTGACTCTCTGGCATTGTTGACTTGGCATGGAAATACAAGACCCCCAAAAGACCTTTCTAGCTCAATGCGGAAGAAGCATGGGCAAGGCCCCTCTGTGCTTCAATACCATCCTGTCTGACCCTTTGTCACAAAAAGTGCGGATCATAAAACTCTGCGGCAGATCACAAATCCCTTTTGGAACCTCAAGGTCACAGGCCATGACCCGACTAAGAACTCTTCCATGACTCGACAAAAAACAGCTGCCCTGCCTAAGGACCACTTTCGGCTGGAGCGCCCTGTCCCAGATCGCTGCGGCAGAGGGGGCACGTCCTGGAGTGACCAAATGAGAGGCTACCGAATAGGTTACCGAATAACATGAGGTACTCAGGGTTTGAGATTGTTTGAGCATGTTGGAGCAATACCCACTTCAAGTGACTCTTACTGTACAAAATCTCCTTAGGCTTTTTGCCTACAAGAAGGAGAGAAGGCCCTTGGGTCAAAACCTCAAAGTTATAACAAGGGAACAAATCATAATGTAGGCCTTTGGTGCCAGTGCATTGAGTTTCTCAGTTTCACATCCATCGCACCGAGGAAACGTCAAAAACATGGCCGTCAGCTCCTATGAACCTTCAGCCAGTCTTTGAGGTGTTCCTGCCGTATCGCTTCGAGGCGTCAGCTCCTCTCTTCGGTGAACGGATGTCGAGAGGTGCAGAGACCAGACATGTCGAGAGGTGCTTCCTGCGTCCGGGAACCTCCCGAATGGAATTTTGTTGTACAGTAGCGTCCTTGTTACTAGTAGTAAGGCCAGGAGCCCCTAGTAGCGTCCTTGCTCCTAGTAGCGACCGGGGGAATTGCCGGAATACTACTTTCTCAAAACTTACAACAATGGTCACAGAGCGGGACAAGATCAAAAGGCGATCAAACGAAAGTCTTGCGAAAGGCGCGACATGATGTCATCGGAATCCCTACAGATCATGGATCACAGGACAGGACCAAATTGAAACTGAGCCAGAATGTACTTGAGTTGGTCTAGTACGCTGCGTAGTGTAGTCTGTGCAGCAGAGGCATGTCGAAAGGAAAGCCAAGTAAGTGCCAAACTAGGCTAGTGTTTTGCGTGGAGCGTGAATGAGACACTTGAGAGAGGAGGGGGTGAACGAAAGGTAGCAGGCAATCACAAGCAACCCTGGTAAAAGTCCATGACGGCGTGAACCGGCGCAGGGGGGATTTGATCCAGGGGGGGGCCCCCCGACGAACAGAATCAACTCTTACAGGACCAAACTCAATGCACAATCCCAACTCCTGATTGTAATACATTTTTGCTAAAGCAAGGAGAACTCAGGTAGCTGAAGCTACCTTTCGTGACAAGGCATGGTTCGAAATGCTAGGAAAAGCAGGTCAATGCCAATCAAGGAATCCTCGTTCAAGCTATTGTTCTGAACGGTGAAACTGGTTGCAAGTGCATTGCGCCTTGTGAAAGACGTGGCCACAATGTTTCCTGAGACAGTTGCTCAGGTGCTTATGAGCTAAAAGAAATAAAAGGCGATCCGGCTCAGCAAAACTCTAGGGCTCAGATCGTTGACCTTTGATTTCATCCCATCATGATCATCTTGCGCCGAGTTGCGTCTTCACAAGCACTTCATCGGATTGTGCAAACTCCTGGCCACTCGGTGGGCTTTGTGCAAAGCGAACAAAGCAAACCAAGTATATCCAAGTAGATCACTTGCGGCAATGCAGGCAATACACGTTGTGTCTTTCAATGCAGATCCTCCAGGCAAATGGAGCAATTGGGCTGCTCCAGCAAGGCTGGATCATCCAGTCCCACCTCCTGGCCAGGGGGGATGAAGCGGTCGGAACTAACTCGGTGGGTCACCACGTCCACGGTGGCGGCCACGCGCCTCGGTATTTCGCTCCAGGCTCCCTGGTGGCGCTGCATCACCTGGTGCTCCAGGCTTTGAAGAGAAAGCTTTCCCGGAAGGCATGACTTGGATCATGACTTGCCCATCTCATCTACAACGTCGTCCCTTTTTTTCCGGATCATCGACAGACAGACAGACAGACAGACAGACAGACAGCCAGGCAGGCAGGCAGGCAGGCAGGCAGGCAGGCAGACAGACAGACAGACAGACAGACCGACAGACGGGCAGACGGGCAGACGGGCAGACGGGCAGACGGGCAGACGGGCAGGCAGGCAGGCAGCCAGGCAGGCAGCCAGGCAGCCAGGCAGCCAGGCAGCCAGACAGACAGAGATCCATCGAACCGTGATATGTTCTTACGCTCACAGGAAGTCCTTCTGGCGAGGGTCAGAATGTTTGGCCAAGTGACTGACACGAATCAAACCTCTCCTCGCCAGCCAGAAGAGGATCTGGGAGAGTCCAGCGACACCAAGCAGGATGAAAAATGAATAGGTGAGGTTGAAGCTCGCCTGGGCTTGGAGTCGAACTTCCAAAGCATTCGACAAGATGATGTGTTAAACGAACGACTACAGTGTTGAGGGGTCCGAGTCTTTCGATCCTTTCATGAGAACTAGGCCACACTCCGTGGCTACACTTTCGCTGCCAAGGCACATAAGCGTGCACAGCTGAGAGAAGCCCCGGCGCGACCTGACCCGGGAATGTCAGACCAACAAGTGCAAAACCGCTGCGAATCTCACCGCTCGAACCCGAAAGCACAAAGTCAGCTGCGACGAAGAAAACCGAAAGGAGAATGATCTGACAGCATTCCGGACTGGGAAATCAGTGATGACTCGTCTTGTGCTGTATTTTTTCGTTTGCTGGAGCCTCTGAGCAGGGTCGAAACTCTCCTTCCTCGGACACGCTCACTATGCCACTCACACCTGCACACACACAGCAAGCCGCGACATCACATTAGATGCCACACGTTTGTGGCTGTGGCTCCTGCGAATCTCCGAGTGCTCGGAGGTCGCAACAAAGTCCACGCCCGCAACAAAAACGCCCGCTCGATGCGTCCACGCTGCGCCTTTGTGGGCGTCCTTTCCAGGCTCCTTCGCCTGGCTGACCTCAGAAGTCAACTCTTTAAAGTTGGACTAGATGAACCAGTATTTGCCATGAACATCGTCCAGACCCGAAGAGGTGCCCTTTTCTTCCACACCTCCGAAACTCCCTCAAACAAGTTCGCGGCCCAGTATAGCCCAACGCAATTCCTTAGCTTTCGGGTCAGTGAAAGCTGACTGAAACTGGCCGCACTCAGCCAGTTTCAGTAATTTGCCAGTGCAACAGCAGGATAATTTGCAGCCAAATATTCCACACAGCGGTAAAGATGGGCACCAGCAAGTTGTAGGCTTGTACCCTGCATACAAGTGTTGCGCGTAACACAACTACTGCTACTTCAGGGCAAATGGGGGGCGCTAGAAAAACTTCTTGCTCGGCAATGTGTCACTTTGCCCGGAAATAGTCAATTCACACAAATTTCTGTTCCTGCTCAAACCAAAGATACACCAGATACAAGCATACAAGCCATTAGCGGCATTAGCTGTCTCCCGGCCTCATGGGCATGCGTTCGGGATTCTCTGGGTCAAAGCTCCAGCCACAAAAAATCCTGCAGTTGGACAAAAAAACAGCACGGCCAGCATCCCGGTCAAACCAAAGCTTTCAAGGCTGGTGATTTGCATAGCTCAAGTCAAGCCAAAAATATCCATATGTTCCTCTTCAAGGACGCTTCTAGAATTACAAACTACTCCTACTAGCTCCCCTTGATCAAGTAAGAAGCAGAACAACTGCACATCTGTCCCAATACGTTATCAGTCTGAGTAACTGAGCTTGGAAGATTTTTCAAAAGAATTCGCTCCCGTCACCCTGTCCTGGCACCTAAGGTGCCATACCTTGGGAGAGTGCGAGGTGAGGAGCACATCAGGCAGCATGCGATCATGAGGAAAAAAGGCTTCAACTACTGCATCTCGTTCTTCTTCCTTCGGTAGAGCGAAGGTGCTATGACTGGGAAAGCATCCCAAGGCAATGGTGATGCTTGGCGAGATCAATGGAAGGAATGAGATGAAATGACCCCATGATGAACTCCAAGCTGGATGTTTCAGAAGGAATGATGGAATGACTCGTCCGAGATCTTAAGGTCTACAACAGTAGTACGGCAACTCACTTGCCACCACCAAGTTGCCGGTCCTGCTGGTTGCAGGCTAGATTGAAGAGCGCAGTGAGCGAAACCACCTGGAGCGCCGGTGCGAGATTCGGCTGAAACCTGGGACCGAAAAGCGCCGCTGCCTGCACCCAGAGCTGCAACGGCACATCACAATTGTCAGTGCTATGCTTGGTGTACTCGTAGGCAAGGTACACCTGGTCGGAGCTGTGCCAATCAGGACTTGAAACAAAGCTGACTGTTTTGCTTGCTTCAGCCTGCATAGCCTTGTTGCAATCCCAAACCACATGTCCCGCAGCATTCACATTTATCTACAGTAACCAAGACTCCCGACAAGAAGACCAATGCTGACAATGGTCATCAAACACAGAAGCGATGCGAACATGCCTCAGCTTTGAAAGCAGTCACTAAAGCTCTATCCACCGGCATATGTTGATCAGAAGTCTCCAAATCAGTGGATGGAAAGACTAAGACTCACGGGGGGGCAGGCAGCTTGCTCTTCAAAAAACTTGCCTGACCAAAGCCCAAGGAGCACATCGCACAGGCCATGTGCAACACGGGAGCCTGGCCGCCCCCCCTTTGCGCAAGGACCAAGCCCTGTGCTTCCTCACTTCGCGATTTTCAGTATGGCTCTCACACCCAACCAGTGATGTCCTTCTAGGAAAAATACAATGGTCGATTTGATACCATATACCAATTGGTTGTAAACTTGGAGATGTCGCCTCTATTGATTAACCAACCAATCTATGCACCCAACACATCACCAAGCCCGCCCGTGGCCGCCGCCTGCACAGCGCCGGGTGTCTCAGGAGTGGCGGTGCCGTCCGCCTTGGTGGCAGGTATCAACAGCTTCCCTCTGCCAATAGTAGCAAAGGCCTCCAACCTACTACGAGTAGCCATGGCCTCCACCCTATGTTTCGTTAGGAAACTGTTTTCCAAGGACTCAAAATGGTAAAATGTTCGATCACCCAAATGGTCCATCAAATCGGTGGGCTCTCTGGAGTTCTATGAGCCTGATGTATTCTACCGGCTCTCAAATGCCGGTATTTTGGGGATTGCAGCATTCCAATTGGAAACGCAGAAGCTTTCTACAAGAAAGCAAAGGCTTCAAAGCTCTTTTGCAACTACCTGCATTTCTCAGCACATCCAGCCGCTTCTACTGTGACAGTCCTGAAAAAAACAACCTCTGGCTTAAACTTGAGGCTGCAAATCCAGCTTTCAAAAAACCATCTGCAGATCATATCTGGCCAAATCACGTGAACTCAGCAACAAGCAAGCAAGCAAACAAGCAAACAAGCAAGCAGCAAACAAGCAAGCAAGCAAGCAAGCCAGCAAGCAAGCAAGAAAGCAAGCAAGCAAACAAACAAACAAGCAAGCAAGGAAACAAGAAGCAAATCAGCAAGCAAGCAAACAAGCAAGCAAGCAAAAAAGCAAGCAAGCAAACAAGCAAGCAAGCAAACAAGCAAGCAAGCAAACAAGCAAACAAGCAAGCAACACAAACAAGCAAGCAACACAAACAAGAAAGAAAACACGCAAGAATAAAAGCAAGCAAACAAGCAAGCAAACAAACAAGCAAGCAAGCAAACAAGCAAAAAAGCAAGCAAACAAGCAAGCAAACAAGCAAGCAAGCAAGCAAACAAGCAAGCAAACAAACAAACAAGCAAGCAAGCAAACAAACAAGCAAGAAAGCAAACAAGCAAGCCAGCAAACAAGCAAGCAACCAAGCAAGCAAGCAAGCAAACAAGCAAACAAACAAGAAAACAAGCAAACAAGCAAGCAAGCAAACAAGTAAGCAAGCAAGCAAACAAACAAGCAAGCAAACAAGCAAACAAGCAAGCAAGCAAACAAGCAGGCAAGCAAGCAAACAAGCAAGCAAACAAGCAAGCAAGCAAGCAAACAAGCAAGCAAGCAAGCAAACAAGCAAGCAAGTAAGCAAACAAGCAAGCAAACAAGCGAACAAGCAAGCAAGCAAAACAAGCAAGCAAGCAAGCAAACAAGCAAGCAAGCAAGCAAACAAGCAAGCAAGCAAACAAGCAAACAAGCAAGCAAACAAGCAAACAAGCAAGCAAGCAAACAAGCAAGCAAGCAAACAAGCAAGCAAGCAAGCAACCACGCAAGCAAGCAAGCAAACAAGCAAACAAGCGAACAAGCAAGCAAGCAAAA